AATTATAATATATAAATAAGTATATCTCTGATAAATCATGATACATATAAGATACACAATAATTTTAGATTGAATAAAAAATTAGGTTTTCATATAGTTACAATACTTGAAAAGTAAAAATAGTGTGAAAATTTTGATGTTTGAGATCTTATTGCAAAACTTACAATGACACATTCACAAGAATAATTTAAATCAGAATTTGTGGAAATTTTAAACAGATTAATCTCAAAATTTGATGATTCAAAGTCGAACAATAGAAGGTGATTTTACATGTTATACTGACATTTATAAATATAATCTGAAAAAATATATAAAATTAAGATTACATACATATGTATATTATCATGTACACACATGGTGTTGTACTAGGATTAGGAATCACTCTTGTCGGAGAGTATAGAGTTTTGCAAACTTGATGAACTGACTGTTATTCGAATTGAGCCTTTGCGCGTTGGAGTAGCTTGTAATATACTAGTTGTGGTGTCCCTATGAGCTTTGACTCGTAGATTTTGAGGTGTCTAGCGGGTATGGCTTGACATGATGTGACTATTCGTGTTTGAATTAGTGAGATTTGCAAGTAACAATTTATTGAAAGAACTCCTACACACATATCAAATTTATTAGTGTTTTGTTGGAAGATTTATCATGAGCACCGGAAGGTCTTGACGAAAGGATTCGACGGTTTTCTTGAATGTGCAATTGGCTTCAATTCGGTTTGAGACATGTAGAATCAGGGAAGCTTTACGAACCGAATGGATTGTACTAGTTGCTATACCATTGGAGCAATTGATGGGGGATATCAAAAGCGTTATTAGCGGACGTACCGGTGCTGCGGCTAGTGAAGACACTAGTTGTGGTACTAGTAGCACCGCCGTTGGCAGCTTGAGTGGAAGTGCTAGTGGCGTGACTTCATTTAGTCCGATTGCGGAGTTCTTGAAGAGGTTGAGGAAGAACTACTAGGGGTTGAAACAGTAAGAAGTTGAGGAGTTTTCAGAAGTTTGAACGAAAGACTGATGAAAGTCTTCGAGAGTCATAAAAGCGTATGAGATGTTTGATCCCATTTACTCATGGTGTGACTGAGGCATAGACTGTCAAGTATTGATACCGGATTCTAGACAGAGATTTGCGGAGGAGGGTACGTGATGCTACTCTCATGAGCGATGCATCATCCACATTAGCTCATGTGTTTGTTCTCTTTGAGAAAATTGAGATTAACAGTTACAATAACTGTATGTTATGATAACAACAATGCTATTGTTGTTAGTAACGATGTCACAGAAGATTCTACGTCGTGTCTATAATTCCGTGCAACGTGATTCTACACTCACCGTTGATCGTATATAAGATTTCTTGCGAAGTTCTGAAGCGATGAGAGGCCCGGACATGTCACCTATGACATTGGTGTATCGCGTAGGTCAGCCTCAGATGGCTCTATCCACGTTGGTTAGTTATCCCGCATCACATGCCTATCGTGATGATGATCTCGTGCTTGTCTGAGATATTCGTGTGTAACATTTGGAAGAATCCAACGCAGATGAGCGCAAACGCGTCATGGGTTTTCCTACTAGTTCAACGATGACTTCTTCAGTTTTAGAGACATCACGTCGTCAAGTTTTGGATCATGCTATGGATCTAAACTGTGTGACTTGGATTGTGAGCTTGGGTTTGGCTGAACAACGACGTCTTCGCACTGATTTGGTTGTTTAGTGCTCAACCAGTGATTAAACACCACTTGATAGCTCATTGCCTATTGGGACAGTAGAGGTAATGGATGGGAGGAACAGGGGAAATATTTATCATCCTTGGATTTATTGTGACGTGATCAAAGAGCCTGCTAGAGTTGCAGTCCATGAAGTTGGAGGAGTTTATCACGTGGAGGTTGGATCAAAGGAGGGTACAGAGAGCAATATCGAGTTTTTGGAGTATGTGACTTAGCAACCAATGAGAGGATCGTCTCCCTCTAATGTGTCTATAGAGAAGGATTGGGAGTCATTGATTGATCTCTAGATCATAGGAAGAGAGAAACAACGGTTGACACAATTTCTATGTGCGTATAAGAATTGTTTTGACTTCGACATGAAGGAGTTAGATGCTTTGGTTAAACCAGACATACAGATAGAGTTGGCTTGTGATACGCTTATCTTTCTATCGGTTTAGTGAAATGAAGGGTGACTTGATTCGGAGTTGATCTACTAGAGGCTGCGTAGCTAGAGTTGTCACATGGTGAGTATGTGTCAACCATTGTCATGCCGATGAAGAAAGATGTTCATGGAAACTACATTGATAGGCTAACGTGTGAAGACTACCATCCAATCAATCGATAGACAAAGTCCTATAAGTATGTCATGCCTACACGTGAAGAGATCTCCTATGTGATAAAACATGTGAGGTTTTTCAGTACTTTGTATCTTCGGGCATGATATCATCAGTCGCCGACTCGAGAGGAAAACAAAGCAAGACAGCATTTTGGGTTATCAACTCTCGCGGCAGGGATTGTTTGTATCAATGGTGATTCTTATACTTAGGGTTGGAAAATGCACACGTTGAGTTTTAAAGGGTTATGGACACATCCTAGCAAAGCTGAATTTCGTTAGGTGTTACATTGATGAAATATTAGTGTTTAACGACATGATGAAGCAACACCAAATATATTTGCATATTGTGTTTGAGCAGTTGAGTCTCATGGTCTCCGTTTACATATGAAGATGTGTAAGTTCTTTTAGTGATTACTTGGGTTCACGTAATCTACCCATGTGATTTGGGATTTCAACAAGCAAAGGTGAAAGCTATTGCACGCATACCTCGTCCAACAAATGTGAGTAGAGTTTGTGCATTCATGTATTTGGCGAACTACTATCGAAAGTATGTGAAGTGATTAAGTGCTATAATCAAACATTTGAACCTGTTGCTGAAGTCGGATCAGTATTGGCAATGAAGAAATGAACAAGAGAGAGCTTTTGTTCAACTTAATAACCAAGTTGATGACCGTTTCCATCTTGAGTAAACCTATCAGAGGTTGTTCATACGAATTGCACACTAATTAAAGTATTGTGGGAATTGTTGACGCGTGATGATGAGTATAAGGAGTTTGTGGTTGCGTATGCTAATCGTTCAAACAATGCAGCGGAGTTGCGTTATAGTTTGTACAAAAAGAGTGTTTGGCAATTGTGTGAACTATGGCACACTTCATGTGTTACTTGTTTGGTACTCAGTTTATCCTAGTTATTGATCATCAGACGCTGAAGTGGTTGATGGAGTCCAACAAGCTCATGGAGAAGCTTGCACGGTGGGTTTTCATCTTACATTAGTACGACTTTCAGATGATGCATAGATCTCGATTTGCAAACTTTGATGCCGGTGGTTTGAGTCGAAACCCATGCATTAACCAGGAGTATGACATTGGAGCTAGATGGCGTGATGAAATAGATGAGAAGATGGTGCTTGATTGGCATGCATCTGCATTACGTGGAAAATCTACTAAAGATGATCACTTGACATCTTACTCTAGTCAAAGAGTGGATGAACAATCTTCAGAATGTGAGATTAAAGATGATGCTATGGATCAGCGTGATATTTACAATAATGCATTAATATTGGAGTTCATATGGAGGAGTATGGTGCCAAATACAATGAGTGTCAAAGAGCGAGATCGTGAGATTGTGTTCTCCAGCACACGAAGAGATACTGATTGGAGTGAGCACATGTTCTCCGAGTGTGGGAGAATTGTATGATATGAGTAGTACCGCATCTAGCTCAGAGAGCGCATATCGTGCGAAATGCTCATGAGCTTCATGACCTTTAGTTCCATAGGCTCATATTAGCCTAGGCTTATATGAATTTTGCTGAAAGAAGAAAAAACGGGAAGTTCGAAATTGAGTCGAGAAATCCAATATCAACAAATAACAAAAAGTCGAGGTTGGAAAACTTGATCAATGTTCCATGTGAGTTGCAAAGATAAACCATTATATTGTTTTCGTGATTGTCAATATAGTCTCTTTATATTTTGAGAATGATCTAACCTAGGCTCCATTTAGAGTTAACTCAATTAGAGTTAAATTTAACTTAATGGGAATTGTGATATTTTTATGTGGATATATTTTGGTTCATTGTATGAATAGCATGTTAACAATGTTTTTCGTGTATACGTGAAAATAACATATTAATGATATTCTTTATATATAAATATGAATAGCACGTCGTCATCGTATAAATTATATTGTTGTGCAAATACATATTCGAACAACAAAATATATATAGTAACATAATTAGATTGATATTTTCAAAATCTCGAGAAATTCACACCCAAGAACTAATATTTATCTATGTTAATAACAAATTTGATTTTTTTTCTTGGATATCACAGTTGTATACATCACAAATTACACAGCATTCGGAAATAGAATTATTTAATTAGCAATGTGATTCCCCCATTATTTCTAGCCGTGAGTATCATAACTTTAAACTTTTAGATTCGAAAAATGATTCGATGGTTCAAGATAAACAAATAATATTGGATACAAATACTATACAAAACAAGATAAACAACTCTCTCAAGCCACACTCCATCCAGCCTTCCTTGGGATTTCCAATTGGTTTAAGATCAAAAGTGGGAAAGGCTACCTACAAGGTAACGGGAGGTCTAGTAGGCGTTCACTGTACAGCTTGTTTGCCCTCGCACCACGAAACGTCTTGAAACTTAGTTTTTATATATTAGCCATACGCTGCATCAATTTTCAGCATATCTTAGATTTGCAACACGAACTTTACAATCTTTTTGAACGAAAAGATTATATTTTACGAGGTCCCTCTTGCACCACGGATGGATACAGACTACAATATTCGGAACAATACAATATTAAAATTCCTCCATCGCACTTCTGGGTTAAGATGGGGAGATATGGCCTCCATAAAGTAGGTAAAAAGAGAAAAGGAAAAGAGGAATAAGTAGAGTGATATCACTGTTCTCGGTGATATGAAAAAGAAAAGTATTTTGCAGTAACATATTCAGAGTTTTATAAGCACGACAGTTGAGGGAAATTATTAACAAGGATAGTATGAAGATGGTTGAAAACATGTAGGCTACTCGAGCAAAAGCAGTTGATGTGGCTTATCTATGTACATTGTAGGAGGAAAGTGGTCATTGTATTCACAAACTTCAGGAGTCAGTCAGCAGAGAAGAGAAGAATCTTGGCGTCCAGATGAGACTACAAAATCATATCTAGTGCATCTGGGTCACGTGAATTGGTGGTATCATAGCAAACGGCTTCAACAATCGGCCTTTCGGACAGATGCATAATTGGCGAGTACTACCTAATATAAGAGAGCCTTATTGTTTTACTTCGAACAAAAGAATAATCTCACTGCACTAACTCAGGAGAAGTGAACTCAGCAGGGCAAATTCTTCTGGTTTGAAAGCTGGACCCACCTAATAGATCTTGTTTTACATTACAAATCCACCTGAAGGACGGACAAGAGAAGTGGATGACCAGGCCCTACTCCGAAACTAGTGCTGCTTTTGGACCCACTGGATGAAGATCCACTGACACCACCCTGCTTGTCTGAAGGTGGAGTGAATCCGCTGGCGTAAGTAATTTCCGTGTTCTTACTCAGCTTTTGAGGGCCAAACACCAATGATTTAGATTTGGGCAACGTCCGCGTCTCTAGAGACTTGTCCAGTAGTGACCATGATATTTGATATCTCGAGATATCATAGATTCCAGGAGCGAAAAATGCTACACAGAGAGGAACCTGTGCTGATGCTCCAGCTGTGAGCAGAGAAATCTTCGTCGACCTCAAATTACACCACATATAGGGCCCACAAGGCGACATTCCACACACGTTTTCCTTATCAGAGTTCGTGGTGGCTATAGTCGCAGGCGTAGTATTCGTTCCACTCTCCGATGCCGCCGTTGCTGTTGTACCTTCTCCGACGGCAGGAGAAGCCGATGGAACTAAAGGAAACCAGCCGACACGTTTCTCCATATTAGGAACTGAGCTGGCCAACGGCATCGGCTTTACGTCGAATGTTTCCACCTTGATTGATGCATCGAAACTTGAACGGTTGCTTATTGTCAGTGTAAGGGACACCTCACAAAACGGATCTTTCTCAAAATTATGCTCCACGTATTGGGGTCCTTCTAAAACCCAGACCAATGGTGCAGATCCCTGTACACTGTACACCAAAACACCTATGTCATTCTTCGATGGATTGCCGTAATATCTGACTCACAGACAATACATGCACCGTAAAGTGGGAGGTAAGGTTAGTTCAGAGATCAGGGGCAGCTAATGACAGCACTGTAAACTTCCTGAAGACTTCTCGACAGAGGATGTCACCTTCGGCGAATAATATGGTTGAATCCTTCATCCTATCGAACCGAATCTCACCAATCATCTCACAGAAAGCATCTGCTCATTGCAACTTAGAGCCTAATGGTGAAATGAATCGCTGTGATAATGCTTTTAGCAGCATGTCCTCGAAGTGTACCATGACCTTTGTGCCTGCAACGCAATAGGTGAAGAAAAGCAGCGTATGGTAGTCTTTTCTGAATTAGCACCACGGCAGTATTACCTGTTTTGGCATATGTCATGCACAAGCACTTTGAGACTGTCGTTCCCTGTGGAATCTCGCTTCTCTATACTCATGCCATCTTGCTGCTCGGAAATCAACATCACATCAACCCCTCCACCATCATGCAAGCTCTCACCGGATGATCCGTATGCTGTCATGTTCTTCCTTTCAGCTTTCGCAGCACTTCCAATCTGTAGTGTTGGCTCAAACGTCATCAGTTGGCCTTTTCAAGGTCATGTCCTGATCTAGGTCAAGAAACTTTATAAGAGACGACTGTTCGATCGTTTGAAACCCAAACCTAGAAATTACCCAACGGCCTATGCTGTCCACCTTCACACTTACTGCCATACAAGAATATACAAATCGAACAATCTAGTTGTGATGCCTGGATATTCGTCTTCCTCCTTCAAATTCGAAGCTAAAGATAGGATAAAATGTAATCTACAACGTAGAACATTTGGGATATCTGGTAACGAGTTCTATTTTACCCCCTCTTGTATGTTAGAAGATCTATTTGTGATGGTTGAGTTTCATACACGATCTACTCCGATAACGTAACATATGATAGATAGATAGCAAAAGATATCGAAATACCTGTTGCTGAGGAACAGAGAGATGAGCAGGTTTTCTAAAATGCATCTTCTCCCGTAACAGGAAGTTCCGGAGGGGACCACTCGCAATGTCAATAAGTGGCTCAGTGCTGCTGGGAGGACCCAGCTTGATGTTACTTGTCAATCCTTCCGCGGTCGGTACTTTTCTGGATCCAACTTTCTGTACACAAGCAAGTTGAAATTCTTCATTCATACGATAACATCATCTGGTTGAAAGTCACAACGGACGGACGAAATTTGCCGCATCTTTGTGGTCCTTAGTGACTCGTCCTTCAAGTTACATCGACAGGGTTATTTGTTGACATCTCCTTTCGCGGTTGCCTTGGACGGGTCGCACTGGTCATGAGGAGCTAGTTCTGAGATACATCGAAGAACTAGGCATCTGAAAGCAATGAAATCTACGAAAATTCGGTCCTCAAATCTCACCGAAGGTTATTGATCGTGCATATATAACACGAAGAACACAGGAAAACGAGAGTAAATTGGAGTAATGAGACATTCTCTCTATAGAAAAAATGTTTCATTACTCCAAACAAGAAACTAGTAACAAGTAAATTGGAGTAATGAGACATTCTCTCTATAGAAAGAATGTTTCATTACTCCAAACAAGAAACTAGTAACACCACACATATGAAGTTACTATAACCAAATGAAACACCAAAAAAACAAGGGACTTACCAGTAACTTGAAAAACAAAGATAAATTTTGACCTGCTGGCAAAAGTTGTGACGGGCAAACAGAAGCGGAAAGATATGCAGCTCTAACACTGTCGGCCCCGTCGGCCCCTTCACTTTCTTCGCTCGTCTCCACGATAGGAGGAGGTAAAGACTCAAGAGACCATTGATTTCCGGCACAAGACACTTGGCGAAGCCAAAAGCTTTCCGCTGAGTGCTCATTCTCGATATCAAGACGAAGTAAAAACTGCTCTAGGTGCAATGGAGATGGTGAAATCTGAACTCCAACTCGTAGGGAGGGAAGGACCTGCAAACAAAACAAAGTACCTCGAGGTCTCAGAAACCCTTAATCCAGTACCGTCTAGAAGACTCAATTTTGGCATAACTTTGAGGACGTACTAAAGGTCAAATCTGGATCTCACGCGCTGCATGTTGATAACTTTGAGAGATCTTAAAGATCCGAAACTGGACAAACCAAAAGCAGCAAACAATCCAGCTTTTCTCTCTTACTTGAAGAGAATGCGTTATACGAACGGTCCGGAACCGAAGACCTGTTATTGACTTGTCTGGCTCGTAGTAGATCACCGTGTTCAGAATGATGGTTCCTGCTTGGCTTGCATGGAGCCAAAGCGGCCACAACAGAGTGGAGCCTCCTTCCAAAACAGTTTCCTGTTCTTAAGAAAAAATCCAGCAGCGAGTACATGAGGACCAGAGTTGAAACTTCATTACATAACCTTCAAACTTGATCAATTGATAATATTCTTAAGTAGTCAAGAACAAGAAGGTGAATCACATAAAGTGTCGCGCAAATAAATATATCAATCAAACTATCATCTAAACAGAACTTGGAACATAGAGCACAAATTGCAATTTCTAGTCGCCACCAACTTCGACGGCACCGAGAAAGAAACTGTAGATTTATACATAGTTGACTCCATCTATATCTCCATCAATTTTTAAAGACAGGAATATTGACCATTGACAAGGAATAGATCTGCCTGTCTACTTTTTTGGAGAAAATCTATTTGGAAGGCAGAAATAGCAGAGATAAATAAACACTATAGGAATTAATGATTAATGAAAGATAATCTGGCAGAGCGAAAGGATCTTCTACTAGCAGTGTGGTCCACAAAAGAAGTTCACAAGTAGCCCACACAAGAGAAGGATGTGGGTACGCAAATCAAGGTGGAGAAACATGATGTGGAGGTAAAAGGGTCGAGTGGGCTCTTTTGATCATGATACTTTGTGCTTAAAATGGAAACTGACCTCAGGGAAAGAATATATAAAGCCACTGGTGCTACATTCTTCTTCAATACTTGCGGCATCTTCAATGCCAGATGTGTCCCTCCGCACTTCAAGGCACCCGGGAAATTCTTGATCTAAATCTCCAGAATCTCCGACGAGTAGGAACAAAGGATGATTTGTCTTGAACTTGATCGTCTGCAAAACCAAGGTTTTAATTGTGATCATTTCAAGCATCAGGATGCAACGATGCAAGTCTAGAACTTCCCTGGTGTGGGAAGAGACTCAACAACGGCGCAAAACGTAGACATTCATGAGGGGAAGGAGCAATCAAAGATGAGAAACCTACGCGTGATGCTTAGAAGACAAATCTATGAAACAAACAAACGAAGGTGTGAAATTTTGAAATGCATAGAGCCTTCCTTATATATGGATGAAGAGATAAAGCATCGATGTATTTTATCAACGCAAACCATGTGGATAGGGCCTAGACATCCCGGTAATTGTATGAGAAAGGTGAAAACATACATTGAGCAAAGAGACGAGACAAGTAGAGAGAGTGGGTCAAAGTGCATGAGGTTAGAGAAGAGACAGCAGCAAGATGTGAAAGGGCAGTAAGGAGACGGATGACGCTTCTCACAAATGCGCACGATGAGAGTTATGTCCAGTTCTCAAAACATATACGAGGATAATGGAGAAATCATATAATGGTTAAAAAAGAGAATTGGTATGTAAAATTATCCATATAGAGGATACTCTCAATCCGAAAGGAGACTTTAACCATAAGTAGGCAACAAAAAGTATGAGCGCGAAGGGATAAGCGGGTAATGATTCAAGGTTCGTACAAGAAACATTGAACGTGCAGAGTCCCTTGTGGTTAGACGCTATAAGCCAATCACATAAACATGCTATCAAATCGACCTAGCACTGTGCCTACTGCTAGAATAAAAGCAAGAGCATTGCTCGACAAGAAGGAAGCCAGAGAAACAATATCAATTACATTTGTACTTGATAATATATACTAACAGGCGGTTCCTGGACAACACAAGTATTGCAGAATGTCTAAATATTCTGGTTTAAAACTTCACATACCTTCAAGGTGGCAGTTGATGGATTTGAAAGTTCCAAAACAAGACGTCGCACCTCACCAGTGTTTACTCTTCCAGGCATTTCATGCAACGACACTTCGAGCCTGGGCATGTGCTGAAACAACAATGCATCCGTACGAGTCCTTCAGTTCAGGCGTGCTAGTGAACACAAGAACTACAAACGTTGCAATCAAAGCTTCAGTTCTCGTTCGGCTCAGGGTCTACTTCAAACAAGTATGGTTAAAAAATCCAGTTTTGGGCCACGTTACTTGCACACAACTTCTTATTATACTTCTTATATATCACAACTCCCATATATCACGATAAGCACGAAAACGGACAGTCACAAGTGTCACCACTGATAGAGGCAGTTCGTCCGAGAGGAGACAGCCCTCCGGGCGTCCTCTAAAGAACTTGGAAGTATCCCACTTCCTCAGATGAAATCACTTGAACAAATCGAACATACGAACCAACGTCATACCAGTTGCAAGACAGTTAATAAACGAAAACGAACAGTCACAAGTGTCGTTACTGACAGTGGCAAAACTCAACTACCTCTCCCTCAACGACTGCTTCGTGCCCCGTCGTTGAAGGAGAGGATAGTTGACATAATACCTTCTGTTGCAAGTCCTTTATATGCACTAGACATGCATTGACCGCTAGGCTTATGGGGTTTTTCTCCATTTGAAGGCACCAGCGGCGAAACAGTTCCCTCACAGCATGACCCGTATTGAAACGACGTGATTCACCTAAATTACTGTACTTCCACGGCAGATTACTTCAGGCCATAGCCTAAAAAAACACACACCATCTGGATTCACATTGTGTTCCATTTGAAACAGACAGCAACGAAAACGTCCCTTCATGGCCTCACCCATATATCTCGTTAAGGACGAAAACGGACAGTCGCAAGTGTTAGCACTGATAGAGGCAGTTCGTCCGAGAGGAGACAGCCCTCCAGGCGTCTTCTAAAGATCTTGGAAGTAACCAACTTCCTCAGATGAAATCACTGGAACAAGTCGAACATACGAATCAACGTCATACCAGTTGCAAGACAGTTTATAAACGAAAACGAACAGTCACAAGTGTCGTTACTGACAGTAGCAAAACTCAACTACCTCTCCCTCAACGACTGCTTCGTGCCCCGTCGTTGAAGGAGAGGATAGTTGATATAATACCTTCTGTTGCAAATCCTTTATATGCACTAGACATGCATTGACCACTAGGCTTATGGGGTTTTCCTCCATTTGAAGGCACCAGCGGCGAAACAGTTCTCTCACAGCATGACACGTAATGAAAACGACGTATTTCACTAACGACGTGATTCGTGATTCATGAATAATTCAGGTGAATCACTACACTTCCACGGCAGATTACCTTACGCCAAAACCTTAAAAAACACACACCATCTGGATTCACATTGTGGTCCATTTGAAATAGACGCCAACGAAAACGTCCCTTCATGGCCTGACCCATATATCTCGATAAGGACGAAAACGGACAGTCACAAGTGTCAGCACTGATAAAGGGAGTCCGTTCGAGACGAGACAGCCCTCCAAAAGTCAGTTGCACAAGTCGAACATATGAACCAACGTCATACCAGTTGCAAGACAGTTTATAAACGAAAACGAACAGTCACAAGTGTCGTTACTGACAGTGGCAAAACTCAACTACCTCTCCCTCAACGACTGCTTCGTGCCCCGTCGTTGAAGGAGAGGATAGTTGACATAATACCTTCTGTTGCAAGTCCTTTATATGCACTAGACATGCATTGACCGCTAGGCTTATGGGGTTGTTCTCCATTTGAAGGCACCAGCGTCGAAACAGTTCCCTCACAGCATGACCCGTATTGAAACGACGTCATTCACCTAAATTACTGTACTTCCACGGCAGATTACTTCAGGCCATAACCTAAAAGAACACACACCATCTGGATTCACATTGTGTTCCATTTGAAACAGACAGCAACGAAAACGTCCCTTCATGGCCTCACCCATATATCTCGTTAAGGACGAAAACGGACAGTTGCAAGTGTTAGCACTGATAGAGGCAGTTCGTCCGAGAGGAGACAGCCCTCCAGGCGTCCTCTAAAGAACTTGGAAGTAACCAACTTCCTCAGATGAAATCACTGGAACAAGTCGAACATACGAATCAACGTCATACCAGTTGCAAGACAGTTTATAAACGAAAACGAACAGTCACAAGTGTCGTTACTGACAGTAGCAAAACTCAACTACCTCTCCCTCAACGACTGCTTCGTGCCCCGTCGTTGAAGGAGAGGATAGTTGATATAATACCTTCTGTTGCAAATCCTTTATATGCACTAGACATGCATTGACCACTAGGCTTATGGGGTTTTCCTCCATTTGAAGGCACCAGCGGCGAAACAGTTCTCTCACAGCATGACACGTAATGAAAACGACGTATTTCACTAACGACGTGATTCGTGATTCATGAATAATTCAGGTGAATCACTACACTTCCACGGCAGATTACCTTACGCCAAAACCTTAAAAAACACACACCATCTGGATTCACATTGTGGTCCATTTGAAATAGACGCCAACGAAAACGTCCTTTAATGGCCTGACCCATATATCTCGATAAGGACGAAAACGGACAGTCACAAGTGTCAGCACTGATAAAGGGAGTCCGTTCGAGACGAGACAGCCCTCCAAACGTCAGTTGCACAAGTCGAACATATGAACCAACGTCATACCAGTTGCAAGACAGTTTATAAACGAAAACGAACAGTCACAAGTGTCGTTACTGACAGTGGCAAAACTCAACTACCTCTCCCTCAACGACTGCTTCGTGCCCCGTCGTTGAAGGAGAGGATAGTTGACATAATACCTTCTGTTGCAAGTCCTTTATATGCACTAGACATGCGTTGACCGCTAGGCTTATGGGGTTTTTCTCCATTTGAAGGCACCAGCGGCGAAACAGTTCCCTCACAGCATGACCCGTATTGAAACGACGTGATTCACCTAAATTACTGTACTTCCACGGCAGATTACTTCAGGCCATAACCTAAAAAAACACACACCATCTGGATTCAAATTGTGTTCCATTTGAAACAGACAGCAACGAAAACGTCCCTTCATGGCCTCACCCATATATCTCGTTAAGGACGAAAACGGACAGTCACAAGTGTTAGCACTGGTAGAGGCAGTCCGTTGGAGAGGAGACAGCCCTCCAGGCGTCCTCTAAAGACCTTGGAAGGAACCCTCACAGCATAACCGGTATTGAAAACAACGTGATTCACTAACGACGTGATTCGTGATTCGTAATACTTCTTGTTCTATTGCACACAACTTAAACCAGTCTAGAGTGCATTGTCGCACTTCGATCCGGTGAAGAGCTACTCAGTACATCTTGCCTGTTATAGACTGAGGACCTTAGATCCGGTGATAATGAACGGTGCTGGATAGTAACAAGCTGAGAAAGAGGAGTGACATGGTATGAAGAACGTGGTGAAAGAAGAGGGAGGAATATTTTGCCCACAAATGAGGTTCCTTCACAGCTTCCAGATGTCAACCAACAATCCTTGACTAGCTCCTCCACCTGTAAAGCTTTTGGGTTCCAGAATATATGGCTCCGGAAGCAGCAGCTTGGTTTTTGAATTGAAAGTTAATTCAGTATGTTTCTGGTTCCACCAGCTGGGCGAGGTTGTATAATGATGTCACTCTGATCCACTACGACGTGCTGCATGTAACTTCGTAATTTCGTCATCTGCACAGCACTGGTCAAATCGCGGGGTGGTTCCAAATGCGGAATCATTCCCATCTGCAACTTCAACTTTGGTCTTGTGCCATGGAATGGTAGAAGACAAATGAAATAGAAAGTTGATGATTTCTTACTCCTAAAACACGAAACTTCAGGCGTTGATGAGGAAGCGGTTCGTCTCTCTTATTATTTCTCGACATCTTGTTCTTCCTTCCAAGAACAGCAAAATCTCGTCGTCCATGGGCAATCTTGGACAAAATCCAATTCACTCCCATCACTTTTAATATACCTGCGCGGGGGGGCTTGACTTTAAGGCGGACCTACAAAACATGCACGAGACGTTTATCAGAAAAATACAAGCTTCTACTCTGATGAAAACTTTTCTGCGCTACAAGGAAAGATAATACACTAAAAACTGCATACCTTGCGATATACATAGAAATTGGGAAAGGAACCAGCAAAACTAGAAAGAATACAGTTAGGAAGGCAACATTGCCGTTCTTCATGTAAGGGGCACTTTGTCACTTACAACTAGCTTCTCTCCTGCTTTTAGAGTGAACGCCTCCTCACTCAAAGCGAGGTCATGTTGCTCCGAATTGGTTCTGCGAAGTTTGACCAGATGCCTCAGAACAAGGTTGCACAAGAATATATGAACGTGTAGGTCACCAGAAAAATCCCGACAGACGTTGAGTCCAGTTCGATCTTGGAGGACAGCTTTCTCAATTGAATCTATTAGTGCTGCACATCTTGGTTATGGGAAAAAAAACACAACCAAAAAAAGAGCGGATTCCAACACATATTTAGTATCGCTATCCATCCTTAAGAATCTCAACAGGAAATTGAGTCCACTTCGATCTCGGAGGACTGCTTTCAAAATGAATCAAGAAAAGCTGTACAGCTTGTTTCTCTGGACCAAAAATTGAGAAAGACAGAGTGGCTCCCAACACTTATTTACCCTGGCTGTCCATCCTGAAGTGAGAGATGATCAACTGAGCTTGAGAGATCGAGCTTACTTCCTTCAGCATATTCCAGTCCTACAATCCATCGCAACACCACGTTACCAATATTCACTTTCATTCACGAAATGTCAAGGAAACTCCAACAAAAAGAAACCCAGCTTAGTTGGTTTCCCCCTAGGTGTCCCATGCAAACCGAGTCATGTAAGAGTCAAAATGTTTCGACCCTTACCAGATTCTTCTATAGTGCTCTCGGCGGTGAAGTTGCAGACAAGCGATACTCCAGATATATCTAGAGTTACTTGAAGAGGATTTCTAAACTCCACATCCACACCGATCTCCTCTGAATTGATTAGAGTCCAAGCTGCTGGTCAGTAAGAAAGAACAAGGAATTCCACGAACAACGAAAACACATCTCTCCAAAATTTACAGCAGAAGAAACATAAAGTCTCATGCAAACACAAATGCAGGTCTCACCTAATGATTTATCAATATATCTCCTCTGGTTCAAGTACTATGCACGACAGTAGTTGGACTTACAGCAAAATGCCAAAAGAGATGCCTACCTTCAAGTCACATGTTCTAGCCTAGTCTACTCCACCCTGCTGGTATAAATATGGATCTGATTGGAGGGAAGACAAGCACCTCCTGCGACGCAGATGTTGTAGTCCTTTGCTATCTTCGCAATTGCCGTCTTGGCATCTAACCAGTTCACAGCTTTATCAGCTGCAGGAACAAGACCTTCTTCTACGGATGACCAAACCTCTTCTGGCACACTCGCCTGGTATAGAACAATTTAAAATCAGGTTAATATTCTCTTCAAATCTGGAGTATTAACCCTATCTAACATAAAAAATTAATGAAGACTGGGCCTTCCCTGTCGTACTGATTGGCTTGAGCTCGGACAAATCAAAGAATACCTGGACAACTAGTGTATCCACGATTCCTGATCATACTTTGTTCATTTCCCACTTAAGATGTTATACTACGGAGCTGGGTAACAACGCAAACTTGGACAATGTGCCCAAAGCACCCTGTATCCTACCGCTGCGGAAGATGCATATGTACGCTGATCTTCAAAGTGCACGTGGACATGCTCCAAATCAACGGAAGGTAGATCCAACTCCAAGACAGCTCCCTTGAGGTGTGACTTCTGGTATCACATGTAACAGAGATTGCTTAATTCTCATCGTAAGATGAGAAATGACATATTCTTGTGATGGTATACCATTCATTAAAGCCAGCGAGACGATGAGGGAATAGGCAACGCACTTCAATAACGGTAAGAAACTCCGCTAAGTATTTGGCTTGATTTGTCGGCGATTGATGACTGCAAGCGATCACTTTCTTGAAAAATTGAGCTGCAATAGCGTTGTTTTCAAGAAGAGTACATAACCTGTCAACAGCCCATATACCATCAGATTTCTCTGGAACTGTTTCGGAAAATTCCTTTAACGTAGGAAGGCGAGTGTTCAAAAAGACATTGCACGAATAGACCACACGATGGATAAACCCTGAGACAAGCAACTGACGCTCGATATTCAAAGAAGTCAAGAAGTGACAAACCTCCCCAAGTGAAAATGTACGTGATCGCTAATGTAGTTCCAACCCTGGTCGCGGAATATACTGAGAGCAGTCCTGTAAACGAGCATTGCTAGTTTCCTCTGGGAGTACCCATGAAAATGACAAGAAACAACGATATGAGATTCGATATACAAATGGAAGCCAATATCCAAAAGAATTAACAACGTAAAATTTGAACTAGCAATAAAGGTATCGTGCTGACATTTAGCGGCGAACTCGGATGCGATAAAACATTTGTCAATATCTGGCCCGAAATAGGCTGAAGTAGCAAGTCGTCCAACTCTTTGGAAAGAACATCTACAATCTCGTTTCTTTGAGACAAACTTACATCAACGAGTCTTTCACAACACACATTTTTCCGAGAACTTGTTATCAACGAGTTTAAGTCAACTCACTTGTTTCAACAGCAGTCCTACCTGGCCACAATTGGTGTATTGATTGCCAGCGAGCACAAGATGGAAACCATACTTGCGTAACATAGGAGGTGCAGTGCGCAAGTAGCAGTAGGCAGCTTGCTCCAGTAACAGCGCTGCTCGAAGGCTCTCTTCCTTCAAACGTGGAATCAGCACTGTCAAGCTTTGCACTAAGTCATTTTTCTCACCACGCTGGCGGATGTATACTGGAGTCGATTTTCAATCAATATCAAAAGCCTACCAAAATGATAATATACCTCCGTAGATGATCTGAAGAGAACAATAGCCGCTTCTCGATATTGCCCCTTAGCTTTATGCATCTCAGCCAGCCATAAGGCAGACCTCGTCGCATACTTCGCACTAGACGTTCCACTCTTCTGCATGAACAAGGGCCGTAAAAGTTCAGTATTGTGCAGCAGTAATTTATTCCTTTGACTATGTCCAAACATACCTCCTCCACTCGAACGATATTGACATCACAAAGAAGGCTAGTATATCAACTCCAACCAGCAACCTAATGAACTATAATCATGTAAAAGGTCTCTTCTTCAAGGAAAATTTAAGAGAAGTTGTTAAGCGAATCGTATATGAGAAAAGCATTGGTTGGAAGGAAATACTTGCCAAAACCAGATAAGGAATGAGCAACGAAAAATAAGATGTTAAATGTTGCCTTTTGGAATGAGTAAATAAAGGCTGCTCATGTGCAAACAGTTATTACTTTATAAGGTTTTGTTATAAACCCAGCGCAATGGACGATTAAGTAGGAAGTTGTCTACCTGGTAATAGTTGATGGCTGTTTCCATACAAAGTTCAGACTCTCTTCTGGATTGATCAAGCATGAACAGCGAGAGTCCTATCATTTCCTGCGAGAACAAGGACATAAGGGAAAACTAAGGTCACCTGCAAACCAGATCCACACTGATGACATTGGCGATTATGTCATCGAGTTTGGATCTGGTTGCATCTACAAAGCTGGAAGACATCTACCAAGGAATCTAGAAATAGTCCACTGTGACGAGCCCACTGGAGAAGAATCTTCAGCCTTAGGAAAAATCAATTACAACTCGGATATGCGACTTTCAACCTGGAAAATTGAAGTCAACGCACCTGAACTCCAGCATACCGCTTCCACGCTTTATCAATCTTATAGTCACTTGAAAGTAAGCGATAGTTTGATAAAGCAAGCTCATAATCACGTAGCACGAAAGCATAATCTGCCAGAACTCTTATCTGTGATTCCATTGAGCTGTATGTGTACCTGCCAGAGGTTAAAGAAGCATAAGTCTTGCGCCACAATATTCACAATTTGTGCTTTTTTTTTTCTTCACATTCTGATATGTTATCGGGACAACTAAATGCCACATACAAGAGCCTCAATAAAGAAAGACCGACCGAAATTGCAATACAGCTTACAACCCTCCTGATCATCAATAACCAATCTCCATATCCATCTTGTGCCATTCAGCTTGGACAGCTGAAAGAGATGGGTGCATGTTTAAGGACAAGGGAGCGGCCATGCACGGCCCGAACGACCTGAGATCTGAAAGCTATAGATATGATAAGAGGATAAATCCGATGGCAAATGAAAATGGAATGAAAAAACACAAAGGTTACAGTATGGGCACAAATGGCTACTGAGACCGAGTCTAGAAAGAAGCAACCCTTGAATGTGTCAGCAATATCTCATCCATTACTCGGGTGTTTCATCAGTCCATAGGTGGTTGCATAGGTTTCTGCTAATTGCGATGCGGGGGAGGGAAACAAAGAGGCCCAAAAAGAAACCCTGTAAAGCACACCGAATTCCCGTGGTTGTCAAAAGACACCAGGAGTTTACTCACGTAAACCAGAAAAAAATTCTACGACTGTCCCCAACCTTAAAGCTCCCAACCAAAAACATTGATCGCAGGTCAGCCATAGAGTGAACGAATGTTTCTATTGATGTTCACCAAGGTGCATTTCAAGAAGATCCAGATATCTGTCACATAGATGATTGTGAACTCGAAGAATGTTAACTTACAAAGGTCCATTCGACACGTCAGGGATTTCATCTTTTCCCTTTCGCCACCACAAATTTTTAATCTGATTTTTCAAACCTTTTCTTGTGGCTGCCACCTGCCTCGACCATCCACATTACAGTTGAAAAGTTACAACCCTGAGGAAGAAAAAACTCACCCAAGGAACCGCTGCCGGACAAAAGGATTCAAGAAATTCACATGCACGATGTTCATCCTTATTTGACCGTAGTGTGATGTGTTAGGTGTGTAACAATAGCACCTGACTTTGAAACATATACTTCTTATAAAGGAAGTTAGTTGTACTTTCCTTACGTTGTACTTTCGTTCCCTTTGAAACATTTCAAAGGGAACGAAAGTACAACGACGCCGAATAGGCGAGAATGACAACTGTTGTTTCAATTTGGTACATATTCCATCTCAGTATGTGCAAAGTATACATGCTTGTAGCCTACCTGTTGATAAAGTGTACGAATTTTCAGCTCCATAGTTGGAATGATGTGCTTGACCGAAATATCCAACACAAAATCTGTCAACTGTAGATTGACAATATTTTGATAGTTAATGACCAGACTTACGCGGGACAATCAGAAGCCTTCTCTACAAGTAACACTGGCAAGTCCGCTCATGTGAATGCTACCTACGACATTGAAAGTCTTCTGTATCCGCCGTTCAACAAAGACCGCTGCAGAAGCAAGTGCAATTCCGACCACGCAGGGATCGGAAGAGGAAATATTAAGATGTACTCAGAGGGTACGGAGGAAGGGAAGTCATGGTATAGATCAAAGCTATGCTGAATAGACCACCAGAGACAGTAATCAACGAAGAAAATATAAGTTAGTATGCATTTAAGTCTTTCCCCGAAGTGATATGGTATACCTCCTCCATGTCAGCCTTGGTGATGTAGCATCCTCGCCTTCGTCTTGATTGGTCTCTATCCTACAAAATGTCAAAACTATTGGACATCAATCATTTATACGAAGGAGCTATAGAGACTAGCTTATACAGAGATAAACCTGACCCCTCCGTTTTGACATGCTGGTGGTTAGAACGCTTACCCTATCTGGACGAACTACCTCAAAATTAGTAGCACTATCCATATATTAACTGGAAGTGACGTAAAACGGCCTAGTGATACACCACGACGATCGAGCTACGCAGTTACTGCACAGACACAAACCTACGTACCAACTTGTCTGTCTCTTGGGTATTTATAGGTGTCATTGGACGTAATGAATGAGATGACCACATATCTTCGCTCGAATTAGGTGATTCCTCATTGGATTCTGGTGAACCTGAATTGATGCACAAAATTCTGCAGTTGTTGACTCCAAAAGTGCTCCTCATCTCGAGTAGAATTTCATTAGCCCTGAGACAAATTCGCTATAAAGTTTTCAAAAATTGCAGTGAAGTGACTCTAGTTGAAGGCAGAAGTGCCTTCACTCTAAGTATGGCGATGGTCAATATACAAGCGAGAGCACAGAAATGGAGATGGACCTACCGATCCACGGAACCTTCTTGAAGATCATGTACTAAAACGTATAACTTCAATAGCTTTGGATCCATGACCCCCTCATTTATAAGGGCCGGCAGGTGTTCCGTATTGTAGAGCTCTACAAATTTGCTGATAGGGTGTTCATCACTAGAAGAAACGGCCTGTATACCTGTTCCGGACAGAAAACAGATGAAAAGTCAATTGTGAGAGGCGTAGGACATGCATGAAAGGCTACGCTGCACACGCTGAAAAGCCTGTGCATCCCTTGCCAGCCGTATCTCGCAGGCCCTTGCCACAGCAAGTGTTGCTAAACTGCCAGCTTCAAATTCAGTCAGAGCAAGAAAACGAAATTTTTGAATTTGGATTACTTTATGATTATGGACAGCTGGACATATTCAAAACAAGTAGACATCTATGACAATCACTAAGACTGTTCTCTTAGGAGATATCTTCTACCCAGGAAGCAAGGTCGCATGCTTACCTTTCCCTCGGCTAACCATATAATTATCCATTTGTAATCATATAGTTCAGGAAGAAAGGTAGAAACAATAAACATGAAAACTTAAATAAAATAAACTTGAATAAAATAAGTGTATCTCAGTGACAATTTTTTCCTCATTAGAAGCCTTAGTAGTTTTCTGGAGGTTGGAGCACTCACATGCAACAGGATGGTCCACGGCTTCGTGTTCAGAAAAGGCCAGAGTCCGCATGAACTCTTTGCTGTACTTCTGAAAGGATGGAGTTCGGGCATCTGCCATTGCCCCTGTTGAACACGACTCACAATTAGCCACCACTGCAACCAAGTTCAGGCAGCTTGGAACCTGAGGTAAGAAGACAGTTTATGGCCACGTAACCTTAAAGCAAGCTATCACAAGTATATACTTACGCATTTTCATAAAGTCACTCTTTTGAGCATCTCCTTCCTGTTCGCCAGCTAAATGGTCGTTGGTGTCGTTTACCACTTCCAGCAAACATAATTCGGCAGTCTGGCAAAACGCTTGATGAGAAGCTGTACCAAAAGAAATAGTTGATACCAGGTGACGAACTTCTTAAGTCAATGGTCATGGTGCACATGCCCTACAGCGAAGTATTGGCTTGAAAGAAACATCAAATTGATATACATCCATGATAATTTACAGATTTGATTGCTCCAAGAATTTTTGGACCAGCGGGACTTGGAAGCTTTAGTAAAAGACATCCATGGGGGAAATGTCACGTGAAATCTGGAGGTAGTTCCAAGCCGTCCCAGAGTCCTTACGTATGTCCGCGGCAAAAAAAGTCCTCTAGGCAGTCTGATACATTTATCAAAGGACACGCGCACTGAATCTTTACCTCTGTCTGTGTTTGGCAAATCTCTGAGGCATAAAACATCCTGACATAGAATTCCTGCAACCGGTAAGGCTGCTCACTTGCGGTGCGTACTGGGACTGCCAAATAGGATTTAAGAAAGTCAGATAGCGACGAGATCATAAAGCCATTCAGATCTCATTCAGGCCTTGTTCAACTGCTTACGTCTTCACTGTAACTACAGTAGAGGGTTATAACATATGCGAGAGACATACAGCATGACAGAGTTGATAGTACGAGCTTGGATTCAACATTTGGTAGCGCTAACTGCAGTTCCAATTGGCTTAACACAAAAAGCCGGAGATTACAATCGACAAGTCAAAGGCATATTATATATTTAAGAGGAAACACAAGTTGAAGCAAAGTCAACGTTGTGTCGCTCCAGATAGCCAATACGTGAGTGACGTTGAAGCAAAGTCTTTTCCATACTTCAGAACTAAGCTTTGCACAGAGCATCCCCTAATGAGAGCACTTTTGGCATGTAGGGAATCACCTCGTGAGATTGTTCTCAGCGCACACGTAATTATATGAGAGTTCTGATGCGGATAGCTGCAGTGCGAATTTATATTATGCGTGACAACATACATACCATTTACATTGGCGAGACTGCAGAATGGTGTGAGTAAATCCACGAAGCTAAGTGAATTTCTCTGGCATGATGCTTCCACCTTCGGAGTAGGAAGAACCATCACAACAGGGGCCATCTGCTGGCGCAGGGACTGCGCCAGCGCAAATCCTGCTCCTTCCATCTTTCCCCTACTTGGCGCCAGTCAGTTTCATATTGCTGCCATAGAGACGATACTTTTCGAGTTTATCCTCTGGGTTGTCCAGCTCGTCCAATTTGAACCTAAATTCACAGATTCCAATCGAGCCCAGGAAATGATGACTACCACAGCTCCACTAGTTGCTGGCGAGAAAATCCTCGGTCCACAGCCCATTCATGTGCAGAGTCTTCTACAGCGAGCATGAACCTCAATCACTTCCAACCTGAGGTAAACAATAGTGCGTGTAGGGAGGAATATGTACTATGTTGTCTTCGACTTGTACCTTGCATTTGAAGTGTACAAGATCTGAAATCGAAAGAAGCACACCGCGCTACGAGGTCTTGTGGAAGACCGGACATATATTAGAAAAGAAAATATACACAGGCTGGGTGTTGATAAAAAAAACACCTCCCCGTTTTGGATTTTCAAATTCCGACAATGAGGACTGGCTGGAGTTGTGTTCTAGGGTTTAAAGTCGATCACAAAGTGCACCTCACTTTCCGATCTGAATATAGTCTGCATTGGAATTCCTGCTCTCGAGAGGAAGTCCCTTCCCTCAAAATAATTCACTCATCCTCCGTCAATTGCCAACAAACCACCATCACTGCAGCACGCCTCCACGGCCTACACAACTCGGTAAGCCAAGAGACGAGCCTGGATCGACATGAACGAGCAATCCCCGCCAACTTCAACAGGAGCAAAGAATGAAACAGCTCGCGGTCAATTGCGCCTCACAGTGACGTGCATTCAATCCACCAAATGCAGCGAGGGAGCGCTCTTCAAAACGCAGTGAACATCGAAGGGAGGCGAGAGTACAGGAATCGTCGATCGGACGACATATGTTTTGAATCAATGCCCCCAACTCTCTCCCTCGCTGCTTCTCCTCGTCCTCCTGCCCCGGCTCCTGCGTGTCGTCGTCGTCAGTCGGTCGGCCGATTGAGCTTCCGCTGCACTTCTTCCTTCTTTGCTGCTCCTCTCTCGTCACGGAGCATCTCAAGGGAGGAGTGAACTGGAGGGATCCTCAGCTCCACTGCCCGCCCAGTCCTTCCCCAACCCCTGGGACCCTGCCCTGCCCTGCCCTCCCCTCCCCTCCCCTCCCCTCTCCCACTGCAAGATTAGCACCCAAACTTTCGGACTTTTCGCTCCGACATCAAGGGCACCTTTTTGTTGGATGACATGAAGTACTTATACGGAGCTGAAGGCAGAACACGCGCAAAATTATTTGCTGCAAAAGTGACAGAAGTTGTTACGCACAAATGAAAACCTTCTCACGAAAGAAAGAAAGAAAGAAAGAAAGGAGGTGCGACAAAGGACCCAAAGCACAGGATTCCACATGAGGCGCTAGAAAAAAATATTAATAATAATAATGCAAGCAAGCAAGCAAGGAGACGAAGAGAAGGCAGGCAATGGTAAAAAGGCAAGCCCGCTCGTCCAGTTGGCCCAGAGAAATCCTAGAAAACCGAGCACTGCCTTGGTCTAGTCGTTTTAGGAGGGGGGGAGCCATTCATGGAACCACGGAACACCCCAATCGCATCACAATGCGAAATTCGTTCGACGGACGTTTCGGCTCTCTCAGTGGATGCCCTCGATCGGTGGGACCGCACGAGCCTGGCCTTGGAGTTTGGCGGAGGACACGACATTCACCTCTTGCCAAAAGAAGCTATTACCCGGAAGTCCAATTCCGCCCATTGGAGTGCCCGCACCTCTCATGTATTAAATTCTTCTAGTCCCAAATAATATCTCTATTATGAGATATGAGAAGTGATCAGGCCTACTACTGCGAACGAGTTCCGCGGCATACTCTGTAGCCTCTTCCCTTCCCTTCCATTTCCTTCCTGTCCTTACATATATTTTACTAGTCCGACGGTCAGAAAGTCGAGACCTACGGACGCTTTGTTATGTCCGACGGAACAGACGAAGCTCCACCGGTTGAATGAATCCTAGTGATACGTGGTTACAGAACAATGGGTGCAAGTACAGTACACCGTGAACGTAACTGTGATCCATAGGCCGTAAACTATGGATTTTGGCTCCCCACTGAACCCCGTACCTTACACTGCAGTTACAGTCGACCACTACTCTGCGACGACGTCTTTTGTCGTCCGACATCGTCTGAACAATGCTGACGGTCGAGACTTGACTTCTCCGCAGAAAGAGAGCAGAGGAGTGCAGTCGAATCGAGAGTAACCACGGCAATATCTCCAGGGACGAAACCGGAACGCATTTCGTTTCCGGCTGCGAGCCGGATTGTCATTGGCGCAGTTTGCTTTGCAAGGTTATTGATTAGTGCACGCAGTTGTGGGTGGATAGGGGCCACGTGAGTTAGCGGATGGTGACCCGGGGACGGGGAACTCGAGCTCGGTAACCCTAAGAGCCCATAGGCTGCCGGAAGTTGGAACCTTCCGCGTTCGAAGAAGAAGAAGAAAAGGAAGTAGAAGTTGGAAGAAGGAAGGGGTGCGAGAAGTCAGCAGGTGGAAATGTGGAGTTGTGGTGAGCAGAGGGGAGGAGCATACGGAAGCTGGCAGGGCAGCTAGCGCGAATCGCCAGGGATGCAGTTAGAAGGTGGAGTGTAGAAGGAGGGGAGGTACGAGGAGGGATATGCAAACCGTGGTTTCCCGACTCTGGCAGACTCCGTCTGTCGCCATGTTCAGGTCGGGAGCTTTGCGGAATCTCAACAATGCTCGAACTATTTCGAATTGCCTCATAAGAACACATTGTCTCTCGAAGTCAGATTTCACAGTTTCGGCTGTTGTTCTTCGCGAGAGGAGATCGGACCAGGATAGATATTCGAAGTACTCGAGGTATTTCCTCAGCTTCTGCTCGTGCCTTTTTTTTTTTTTTGGGTGACTGGTTGCCTCTGCCCACATTTACGCTGCCGAATGGAATCAGGGTGTAGCAAAATCACTTCGTTTCTTAGTGACTAATTTGTTTTATTGGTGTTTCGTAGACCGTCACCTCTTCACGTTGACCCTCTAGATAAATCGCAACAGCGGAAGAAGTTCGCATTTCCGGAGCAGACTCCCAGGCTTGAGGTAATTGTTACATTCGTGAGGAATGGATGTTCTGTCGCCTCCTGGAGTTGATATTTTTAATCTGGAAATGTGTGAAAAAATTGTGGAATTCTCCCAGCTAAGTTTGATCGTGGAGCTTGGCCTGATTTCAGTTCTGTCGTTCTGAACGCCATGGTTCAAGCTAAATCCTTTGGGTCTTGGTGTTCCCTTCTTCTGCAAGGCAGATCACTGCTGGAGGTGGTCCTCGCCCAAGAGCACCGCGACAATGGAAGACCAAGACCAGACGAGGCTCTATTGCTAAGTCTGTGAAGCTCATTGACATTGTAAGTTTCATTCGTGGCAATTGCAGTCCAGCCGCTGCTTTGCTTTACTTGCGGTGCAGTATCTGTTGGGAGCTTGGTCTTGAATTTCACGGAGCAAGATGAGGGGCCAGAAATTCAATTACGATTCGGATATGTATGAAGGTGCACAATCTGTCCAACGTGAAGGAGGAAATTTATAATACACTTGACGCCTGGATCGCCTGGGATTTAGAGTTCCCTCTGATCGCTGTCAAGAAAGCGATAAAAGATTTAAGTGCCAACGGAGAGTGGAGGCGCGTTATACAGGTAGTTCTCTCATCCATGTAGATACCACGGAGTCGGCTCTTTCGTATGATGTATTGTGAACCTTCCCATTGATGACGTGCATTTGGGCATCTGACTTCGTGGCAAGAAATAATCAGGACCATGGAAGTTGAACAAGTTCATGGTGCCCTAGTTCGGTCCAGATGCCTCTGTATCAGTAGATGGAAGTTGGCATGAAATTCTGAAGACAAACGAGTTTGCTAGTAAGGTTAGGATATTGCATGGTCCAATTTGAGAGCATTGAGGGCTGTACTTTGTTAGACAATACGTACCGCTATGGATTCACAGGGTAGGTGTGCGTCGATAGATTTCACTCTAGGATGCACTCTTATGTGTTACCCATGTATGGAGCTTGTGATCGCAGCTTACGAAATGGATGTTAGACAAAGGTCAAGGGAAAACTTTGGCAACGTATCTTACGCTTTTAGAAGCTCTCGATCATGAGGGAAGAGTCGACGAAGCAGAGGTTTTATGGGAGAAGGTCTTCCAGGAGAACATGGAGTGTATCCCACGAACAATGTTCTCGCGTATGATCAGCATGTACCAACGTTATGGAAAGCCGAAGCAACTGTTGAAGGTGAGCGTCTAAACTGCATAATATCTCATGGGCGATCATGATCCACTGTGAACTGAATATCATGTTGGTCGCTTTTTTAGAGGCTACTTATACTAAGAGGCTACTACAGGCTCTGTATACACAAATAATGTCGTCAGCGGGAGCTACACAATCGTGAAAGTTTAGTGTCAACGATAAATTTTAGTTTCAGATGCATTATCTTACAGCTTCGGCTGCAATTGACATGTAATAAATGGGTTTGTGCTTCTGATGACTTTAGATCGATTTGTTATGATCATGTGAAGGTCTTTGCGGACATGGAAGAGTTGGGTGTAAAGCCTGATTTCGGTACCGTGAAGAGGGTATCGAAGATATATGCCGACTTCGGATACCCCGAGTACGCTCAGTCACTGTGGAAAAAGTACCCCTTCGACTCTGAGGGCAAATTTGTCAGAAAGGAGCGTCCTTCGCGAGGTCCTGGACGAGAAGGTACATCCAAGAGCGCACATCTCACTTGATTCTTCGTTAGCTTGATCCGGCACATTGCTTCACAACCGCCTTGCCTGTGGTTTTCTCGCATGCTCTTTCCTCAGGACCAGCATTGCGTGTAGACCCCATGAACTCCTGTATTTCAAAAGTTAGGATTTATAGAAACTCTTTCAAAGAAAGATAATATCATAGATCCAGTTTCATGCTTCTTCTACATAATCCTGACTCCCCTCTCTGTTACACGCAAATCCAGAAATAATCAAAACTCCATCGAGGCAAGGAACGAAGAAGTCAGATGGTATCAAAGTCGGGGATAATGTTGCATGACCACCTATGAAGCGAACGTTGAAATGAGCGAGATGATGCTCAAGTGTGGTGAATGAAGCAGTAGCAACTGATATATACATCAGTTGATCAAGATCTAACTATCTCTCAGCTTCTAGCTGAGAAGGATTACAGTTCCACCATTCATCAGATGCTTCACAGTCTAGTTTACCGGGCAGTACAGAGCTTTTGATTTTCGGGATTCAAAACACCTGTTGCCCATTGCCCTTGTAACGAAGCTACATGTACATAACTTGAGAGAATTTTATTAAGGTTACACGCCGGATGTAAATGATATGAGTAATGAGTGATATTGATTTCATGGAAAACCTTTGCCTCATCAGTACTTAAAAATGGTGCTGCTCGGAGAAATAAATACTCCAAGTCAAGCACAATCCCTCCTACCTCGGAATCAACCGCACGTCTTAAATCTTGGTTGGACTAAATTTTGCAGGTGATATATTAGTTTCGCTTTATCACTTATTTGACAAAATTAAAGTTCAGTACAAGTAATATCAAAAAGAAATATGCGTTAATTGTAACCCCACATTCTTGTTCCTGGTTACCTCCTTGTACACACGAATCTCGGTTATGCTTTTGGGCCCATTTTTTGTTATATTTCCTCGCTGCTATCACGACTTAAATAGTTCATGGACCGATCTAGGAAGCGTGAATATGTGGAATGCATTTCAGTCTTAATGAGTTATTTCTGAGAGAAAGTTTTCGACTTAGTGAAAGCTATACTTCATAGTCACATTAAATAACTTTCTTCTGTATTCTGCCCTAAACTCTAAATCTCTGACCACGTTAAGAGCTGAATTCATGAGGATACACCCAGCATATCACATAACACCGTCTTACAATTCATATGGGCTCGATGTAATACTAACTAAGTAACCCTCGTGTTGTTGACACTTTGTTAAACTTAAACAATGAAACTGTAGTAACTTCAACATATATAATTTTGTCTTGTTTTTTCTGTGTCATGGGAGTTATTATTGTTTTTTCCTAAATATTTGAATGGATTAATTTATTTATTTTCATCATTATTCAAAAAGGCGATTGAATTAAATCTGATTGAATAATTTCTTTAAAAGGAAAAGAAAACTGTCTTTCAAGAAGTGTTAGCAAACGATTTATCTAAAACTTTACTCACATTTTTTAATCTGGTGGTTTAGAATTTTCGTCCGATATTTTTGATCTAAAACGATTTTTAAATCAGAACTTTATATATAATTGACATAAAATAACTTTCTGAAGGTACGTATGTGATACGGAAAATCCGAAATAAAAATACTCAATTTCAATTTATACAAATTTGAAACCCTGAATACTTTATATCTCATTGACCGATCTACAACAAATAAAAATGTGTACACTACACTTCAGATTTGTATTTGAACAAGTTTCATTGTAAAGTAAATCTCCTTTCATTCAAAGTACACTTCTTCGTATGTTTCATTCATTTTCAGTTAAACTAGTCAAGACTTGAAAGTATTTCAAGATACTATCATAAATGAATAATATGACATGACCATTTGCATCTTTGTGAGCATCTTGAAGAAGAATCAACAACAAGTGAGATATCATTCTCCACACTTTGCAGATTCATTTAAGACAAAGTATGTTCTTGCATGTATAACATCTAAGCATATGATTAATGGCATGTATAACAAAACCTAGTGTTATCATGTTCAATTATTAGTCCTGGTACTAGTGTTGTTTGAACACGAGCTGATTAGATCATTGGCTAATGTCACATGATATATTCCTCATGTTGAGGCTATTTGGTGGCAAACCCCGTGTCAAATGTTTGGTTTCAACTTGATAAGGTATTATCCACCTGGTGGTCCCTTTTAAACAATCAGTTCAAGAGATGTCGTGGCGTAGAAGATGATATATCAAACATAACATGGCGGCAAACCTGCTATGCCCCTACTGCATGAACTACAAACCTGACATACTCGGTATCGGAAATTCTGAATGTATTTGGATGGATGGTTGCTGCAACTGGGAGACGTCATAAGATTCAGCGAGCGAATTAGTGTAATGAGAAAAAGCACGAATGGGGAAATATGAAAAGGTTCGCAGTTCTTTGATAATTGCAGTCCGGGATGAAATAAAATTCTCGAGAGGAGAGGACGAAAGAAAGAAGGGACTGGAGGGGTCTGTCGGAACGGAGCTGAGCTGAGTTCGTAATGGGCACACAACGTTCAGAAACTGATGCAATCGTCGTCAAACTCCGTAGTCCGCGCCAGTTACTGATCGCGGAAATTGACATCACCGTCGACCTTGAGGATGCGTGAATCGCCCTGCCATTTGGCTCGGGTATTACTGCTGCAATCAACAATCGAAGCACGATGTCCTTCTCGCCGAGAGATTCCAGTGCGGAGTCTGGATGCCTCAAAAGTCTGTAAGGTGTGATCCGTGCGGGGCTCTGTGATTTGTGAGCTGAGCGGGCTTTGCAGGACGTGGGAAGAAGTTCAACCTGGCGAACTTCGAATTCGCAGGTTCTCTCCTCACCATGCGTGGGCGAGGGAAATCCGTGAACCAGTTTGAACGGTAGCTCTGGTCGCGGAGGATCATGGTTCCGGTCGGCAGGTCATGAGTGGAGACTGGTGGAGTTCGTCTTTGAATCAAGAGGATGTGAAACTTGGACGCTTTTGCTGGAGCAATTTGCGACATGGGTACTCCGCAGGTGATATTAGGTTTGCTGAGAAGATTCTTGAAAGGCGCAGCAGTAGGAGTGGCTGCAGGGATCACCGTAGCTGATAGATTTGGCTCTGTAGTGCGGTTGAATGGCCGATCCATGCAGCCCACATTCAACCCGGAGGATTCGGACTCTCCTAGCAAGGACATTGTGGTGGTGGAAAAATTCTGTCTGCGCAACTTCAGCTTCACCCGCGGAGACGTCGTGGCATTCAGGTTTTCATCATGCGTGCTATCATTTATAATTTCTTCTTTGGAGTCATTAGCCGTCAAATCAGGAAACTGGCTCTGCTTGTTGCTCAGCCTTGTGTCGAACTTGCAGCTTGTACTTCATTCATCTAGAACGTAATTTCAATTCTAGATGCCTCACCTCCGATTGATGCATGAAAGTTCGCATCTATCGGAGGTGAGTTTCTGCCGGAAGCAGAATTAGAAAATAGCCTTTTGGACTCAGTTCCGATGGCATTTGCGTAGGAAACCTCCATGAGTTTGATGTTGTGAGTTTGGATTCTTGCTGCTTGAACAAGTTCCGGAAACATGTCATAACCCGCTCGGGACAGGTCACCGCAGGATCCAAAGGAGTACCTTGTGAAACGCCTAATAGCACTTCAAGAGGACTGGATTACCGTGCCTGGAACATACGAGATCTTGCAAATTCCCAAAGGCCACTGCTGGGTTGAAGGCGACAATGTGGATGTTAGTTTAGACTCCAAAGAATTCGGCCCTGTGAGTCACTCATTCCTCGTTCATTAGTTGTTTCGTTTTTTTGAGGATACTGTGTCGCACTCTTGAGAATTAAGCGCAGTATCAGCTCCAGATGGGGAGGTGATTGATGACAAACTATAGAAGTGGGCATATCATGTGTAGCAAGTCAATACATTCAGTGCACCAAACTTGGCGAAATAGGATAGACGGGCGCCTCCAGAGTTTTTGTGTAGTCATAACGATAGTGATGTGCTGCTTTATTTATGCTGATCATAGCTGTTGTGGAGTTCTACAGATTCCGATAGCACTCATGCGTGGACGGGTCACCCATGTCGTATGGCCACCGCAAAGACTGGGCCCAGTTGAAAGTAAGTACCCAACCGGGCGTGTTTTTTCGGGAAAGGATGGTCGATGACAATTTCTTAATGGTTTACGGTTTTCCGTAAACCCTAAACTTGGCAGAACAATTACAGAAAGGATTTCTTCGCCAGTAATGTGTCAACAATATTTGAAGTTCCTGCGTGGTTGGAGAACCACGACTTTTAGCACAGGCAATTCAAGGCACGATTCAGAAAGAGATTATTTATAATGGAAAACTAATATAGACGATCTCTCTCTTAATGTCCTGTTCGCGCTTGCGAATGCTGTATCTCAACGACCTTGGACTTCCTTCTCAAGACCGTGATCTTCTTCTTTTGTAGAGGATGCAATCCCGGTCACTCTTTTTATCCAGTCAGTGTCAAACTTGGAGATTAGGCAGCCCCATTGGTTAGTTCATTGCGCATTTTTGACCCATTCCTGGGACTTGATGGCGATAGACGTGACAGTTGTATGTCTGTTAGGATTGCCATGTATCACATAGGAAACACTCGCACGGCTATGAAGTGTTTTCTGACAATTAATCGGTCACAAGTCTTCGAAGGTGTGATTCATGATGTATCACGTTCCTTGAAACTCTCAAGGTTAATTACGTGAAGAGATTAGAAACTTCTGGATAGTGGCTGGAAGTGACTACACGAAATGAGGAATGATTAGTTTCTAAATGTTAAGGAGTCAAACAGGGACGATAAGCCAGTTTCAGACAGTAACACAAAATGTTCTCATTTCTTGTTACAAAGGCTGTTGTTGTCATTGTTAGCAGCATGGACTTGTACACAGTTATGTACATTTTTCCTTCAAAATTATCAATGATGAGCCCAAGTTGGATAACCATCTCCATCTTGTATAGACAGAAAGTTTAGATTCAATTCCACCACTTTTCTTCAAGACAATAGGATATGGAAATTTGCTTGCCCTCTTTCCTCCAGAGCTATTTGTCTGCTGCCGTCTTTGTATCCAATATTGATGTGTAATTCTTGCGCCTGCGAATTTGTATGCGGATAATATAGTAAGACTGGAAATCTCATTCCTCTGTCTCGTAGCTCATCTTAGCGAGGGAGATACGATTGACGTTGAAAGGCCTCATGGTCATGTACATCTAGTCAATGCAGTAGTTTCATACTCGCAGTGGTTTCGCACGACAGTTGGGTATGTGGCGCGAATGTCAACCCCGAAACACATGTCAAGCTCGAAACAGGCAATAAATTGTTAGGACCTTACAAAGAAATAAACAGTCAAATTGATTGTTTTGTTGATACAGAGGAGCAAATTTAAATTTTTCACAGTTCTGAACCTCGAAGACAGACAACATCCACAAACTGAACAAAAAATCGTCAAGAAACTTGGACTCCTTTTCACAGGGCATATAATCCACCATCATCAGAGAGTTCGAGGTTCAGTTCGCGCAGGCAGAGGCTGGCCCCCCAGTGATCAAACAATTGAATCCCATCATGGTCTGAACTAGCCATATTCAGAGAGGACGGTTCAAGGAGTTGGGTCGAAGACTACGAAAATTTATGATCCGAGTGGGGCAGCGCCAAAGTCTATCAACTGGAGACGGAGGACCCCTCTCCTTACCCCCACGAGCTTGGTTCAGAAGTCCATCCAAGTCTTAATCTTAAGGAAAGGATTGGGAGAGAACTTTCCGCAACTGCGCTGCTATGCATGCATGGTCAAGGACCTGTAATGGATCGGTGTGCCCGTGTGGATCGTCCTCCACATTGTCGAGTTCTCTGTGCGTTGACTCGATCGGCTCATCACTTGCCAAAGGCAACTACCATATCAATATTTCCCTGAAAAAGTGTTTAGTTTATTAAGTTAGATTCGTTTGATCTCTATATCTTTTGATGTAGTTCGATACATATTACTTGTATTCTTTATTTTTGTTTATTTACTTTAGTAACAATCGAGTATGCGTTTTCTGCTTATACTTTTAAATTATTTATCTAATTTCATCGTTTGCTATATAGTTACATCAAAGTCCTACATTGCTTAAGCAAACATTTTTTTTTTATCATATTTACATGTTTAATATGCATGCAATAATATAGTTTATGATACGATTTTTCATAATAAGCGTGTAACAAATTTTTAGAAAATTATAGGGAATAAGAAATATCTCTACACAGATGTCTTTAATCACAAGAAAAGTTAGTTATACCACTGAATTTATGTATATAACAACAATCGTAATTTTAATAAGTCTACTGTAGAGTTTCAATTCTTTTTTCAATTTGATATGATTAATTTTTAATAGAATTGTGCATTTATGTTGAATTTTCAATTCGTGTGTTCCTTCATTAGAGAATGTTACAATAACGCGTGATTTACTTTTTCAATGCAGCAGATTAACATGCTTCGCGACGGCATTTGAGAAGCCCAATTCTGTTCGAGAACGAGAACATTTTGTGCCAAAATCAGAAATCGTTTGTTTTCCGCGCTCAAAAAAATTCTATCAATCTCAATCAGGCGCCTCGTTCGCTGCCGGTTTGCCTGATGCCGTAAGGTTGTTGTGGTCATTTGACTTCGGGTGATGGAACTGCACCTTTCCTCTGCCTTAGTGGTCGCTATATAGTGATGGAGATCAGAGCTATTCATCCAGAATTCACCGCTGGTACAGGCGATGGATCCGTGACAGGGAAAAGAGCTCCGCCGAGGACAAGAGGGAGAGCTGATAGATCATAGACTGAGAAGAAAGAACTCCGAGAAATCCGACCCACAACAATTGTGGGAGGTACCCCAGAGCTGGAATCACCTTCTCGAGTTCTCTACTCAGAGAAATTCCTTGCTTTGCGTCACACATATCTTCCTTAGGTAACCCGTTGTTTGCGAGCCTTTCTCAACTCGTAACTAAATTCCCCGTTGTTCGAAGTCGTCGATCTCTTCCGATCGATGCCATAACGCTGACTCGATACACTGCCAGACGTCTGCTCTTCGGGTCCGAAGCTTATCTCAGACATACACCTTCGACTTTTGACACAATCATGGCTGTCGAGGAGACATCATATCGTCATCAGACATGCAGGTCATTCTTGATGTCACGCAGAAACGATCACCGTACACGGAGTCCATAAAGGCGACCAGAACGTGCGAATCTCAGTGTGCAGATTTGTGAAACTGAACTGTGGCTGCCGAAATTCTCAGGACTTTAAATTTGGAGAGATATGAAACTTTGATGCTTATTACTTTTCATCTTGACATCTTGCCCTCTGCAAAGCATGGCCGGCTGCGATCGCTTGGGAGTTGCGCCAAAGATCGACCGCATGTATGTAGAGAGCACTTACTCTTGTTCTCTTGATACATCTCCCCGTCGAGGCACATGCCATTTGAGTCCATTTTAAGTTCTGCATCAGAATTTAAAATAAGAGAAATTTCATGCATAGAAGCAATTAGCATCAGTGATCATTGAATGAATCATGGCATTCGTGGAAAGAGAATATGAAAGAGTGAGAATTTTGATGAATCTGTCTGATGATTGAAATTTGAGTAATCTCTTTCAAGTCCCTCAAAGAGAAATGGAGAGGGACTTAAACGTACTTAGCGACTTTCTGATGGTATGCCCATTTGTTGCCAGCAGCCTTGGATGACTGCAGGACGAGCAGTCGATGAGAATATGCTGATCATTGTGCCATATGTATAAAATCTTTAAAGAGTAAAGACACAAAACTCCTTTGTCGGAGGCATGTGTAAAGTTGAGGTATACACACCATAACACTATATCGAGCTAAACTGATACGAATGGCGAGGGCGGACGTAATTCCGTTTAGGCCTTGGAAAGGTAAAGGTAGAGCCAAACGGATTACTCGATAATTATCTTGTAACCGAAAAAACAAAAATATGGACATTCTCATAATTATTCAGAATGTAATTGTGCACATTTTACTAAAGTGATCCAAATAAATTGTACTAAACATGTAAATTATCTCTAATTTTTACCCTTTAGGGCAGAGATAATAGGATAATTATATGGTAACCTTGATCTTTTAACCTTTAGAGTAGAGGTAATAGAGGAATTACCGGGTAACTTTGATATAACAGTAACTTTTAAACCTTTAAGAATTCTTATCACGTAATTACCCTAAGGTAAAAGTAGCCAATAGTGACAAGAGTAAGGTAAAAGATAGAGTAAAGGTAGAGGTCCATGGCTTACCCGGTTACCTTTTACGTTACCTTGCCCAAGCCTACTCCTTACTTGAGTTTCCATGACGAATTCCTTCGTGGTATTCCAATTCTACTTTATAAACGGAGTTTTAACTGATTTTTCCACAATTTTAGTGTTGTATTCTCTCTTGTTGCTGTACAAACCCACCAAACCCATTGATCCAATATGTATTATAGAATAGTTTTATAAGTTTTACTAGTTCACCGTCGACAAGTTTGTCATCAACAAAAACCATAACAAGGCAAACTTAAAATCGTTTGTGAAGTAGAAACACAAACACACAACGAATTCTTCATCAATTATATAACCATAATATTGTGTATAGAATAAAGCATAAGCATGCGACAAGTTTTTCATCAACAAGGCATATTTAACATTGTTTTGTGAAGTAGAAGCACAATCACACAAAATACATTGACAACGCACAATATTGTTTATAGAATAAAACACAAGCAAGCGAAAAGTTTGTCATAAAAAAAGCAAACTTAATATGGTTCATGTAGTAGATATATAATCACACAAAGAGTTCGACATCGACCACACCAAATATTTTTTATAGAAAAACAAGCATAGTAAGAATTTGCCATCAACGAAGGCAAGTTTAATACATTTCATAAAAAAAAAACACAATCACTTGAGGAATTCTACATCAAAAACTTAAAATATTTTTTTTTAGAGTAGAAATACAAACACAGTAAAAATTTGCCATCAACAGAAGTAGGTTTTAAATTATTTATAAAAGAAACACAATCACATGATGAATTTCACATCAACAACTTAAAGTATCATTTATATAATAGAAACAAAAGACCAGGAAGAATTTGCCATCTAACACGCAAGAACACAAGGTAGGCTTTTGTACGGACGGATTTAGTTGCACAAACTTATACATAGCCCCTATATATGGCTTTCATAGACTCAGGCAGGTGTCATCCTACAGTGAGCCCTCTCGGAAGTTCTTCTTTTCTCTGCGAGTCTACTCTTTTTGAACCAAGATGGAAGAATGTGCGGGTAGCTACCCGGGCAGTTTCCTGATTGGCGGAGTATGAAACTTAGTTTTTCCGGTGGAGAGTTTTCATTGAACTAGATCTCTCCACTTTCCGGCGGAGCGATCTAGCGATGGACTATAAGAACATCTGGGCATCCATCTGCACTCAACTACGAGGGGAATCCCTATTCTCACAACCTGGTCGACGTCATACTGACCACCATAATTCCTCACAATGGAACTGTTCAACCGATGCTTGAAACTGTGTGGGCCACCTTGAAATGTTTCCCGACAGCAGATGTAGTAATAACCCAGTGCATGGATGAAGCTTTATTTTCTGAACATGATAAATCAAAAAATTTGTGCCAATGAACATGTAAGCTCTAATATCCATATAGATTTTAACAAAATGCCTTTTTTTTCCATTATGTACCAACCCTTGCTATAAAATGGCAAAGGAACCAAGAGAGGAGAGAATTTCAGGCTTAACATACAAGCAATGAACAAAGTTTTCAACGCAGAACGGAATTGTTTGGCATGATCGGCTATCGAGCTTTGAGTTATTTTGTTTTAGTCACTTGCGTGCTATAAGATATCGAGTAAAAAATATCCTGAAGTCGATGATTTTGCTCTGCCTTTGCGATCGAAGTCAGCTTAAAGGGTAGAATCAGCTTAGAAGGTAGAATCATACAAACTTGTTGAAAAGACGAT